ATGGTCTGGAGACTGGAGTCAGCTCTTGGCCCAGGCCCTGCCTCTGCTTGCATGTCCCCAGCCCTGACTGTCCCAGCCAGCCCTTTCTAGCATTCATTAAACTTGCCCGAGATGGGATGTGTAATTTCAGGGGATGGTGGGATGCAGAGATGAGAGGGACGGGCCAGAAGTGGGATGGAGATGGGTTCTGAGGGAGAGGGGAGTAGCAGAGACAATGAGAAGACTTCCTGCAGGGGCAATAAAAGCCAAGAGAGGACAAACAAGGAGCGAGGTGATGGAGGTGGAATCGAGCAGCCCTGGCAGGAGCAGAGAGTGAAGGTAGGGAGGCAGAGAGAGCAGAGGAGGGCTGTGGAAAGGGACTCGGAGTGCTCTTCGTGCAGTCTCATATCTGCAATCCCCATGGTAGGAAACCAAGGTGGTCACCTTTGAGGTCCTGCACCCATTGCCAGCAGCTTCCCGGAGCAAACATTGGCACTTCTGGCCTGGAAAAAAAAATCTTTGGTTTCGCCCCAAATTATAAGAAGGAGAGATGGAGAAATGCTGTGCCAAGAAGAAATGGAAAGATGTTTGTACAGCAGAACTGAAACGAAACAGCTCAGGCTGTCCAAGAAAACCGGGGGGGGGGGGTGGGGTGGGGTGTTGAGGCTGCAGGAATCCCATGCTCCAGCGCCCTTTGCTAATCCTTGCTCGGGAGCTGGAGTTCTGGCCCCATCCCACAAGACACTTGGGAGCAGGCCTGATTCACCTCCCAGAAGGGGTGATTTTCCCTGTGGAAGAGCATATACCTACTTGCTGGCTGGAGATTCTCTGATAAGGCATTTTTTTCCCCCACTCCAAGGCAGGATTTTGCCTTGGTAGCATTTCTGGTGGAGGATGGAGACTGAATCCCTGGGATCTCTCAGCACAGAAAAACCTGAAACTCCTCTTCCATTTAAGGGCAGAAGTAATATTTCCACCTAAAATCTTTCCCTTGGCAAAAGGATCTCCATCCAGCCTGCTGGGATTACCCCTGAAGATGCTCCCTTGCTCTGCCAGTCCCACCTGCTTGTTACCCACGAAAGGATGCTGTTTATCTAGGACCTACTCAAACATCCCTGTGGCTGGGTACACCAAGCCCCTTTTGTCAGATGCAAATGGGGAGCACCCATGAGTTCATAGCTCCTCCTTCCCCTCCCTGGCCCCGAAACACCATGTTGGGGCTGGAAACCAACTGGGGGATTCCTTTGCAGCCCTTTTCCCTGTTTCTGCTGCATAATTTTATGGATTCAAACTTGGCCGACCCATGTTTGAACTTCCAAAGAAAACAAATCATTATGGAAGAGAAGCCCTTCTTCTGCAGGGCCGAGTTTCAGAGGGTTCCTTGGAGTCTTTTATCTCTCCTGTCTCTCTCCCATGTGGTTTTGGGGGGTAAATGATCTGGCAAGTGGAGGCTTGTAGGGTTTGGATTTTAGTGATGGGGCAGATTCGTGGTGGATTCTCCCCTGGAGAAGCCAGTGTGCCAGGGAGGATCAGAGGCTCCAGGGATGATGGAGACAGGGATGCCTGTCCTCCTCAGAAGGCAGATCCAGCTGGGAGGTTGGATGTGTCTGGAGAGACAATTTCCTGGATAGCAGCTGTGCTTGGGTGGCCCTGCCTGAAAGGGAATATTTTTTTTCCCCTAGAAAAGGCTAAATTTGCTTTCTTTACATTGAATTTCATGGACACATGGAGAGTTCCCCTGGAGGAATCCCTCCCCAGCCCCTGCCAGGAGAAATTCAGGCACTGTCTCCATTGGGGGATGAAGCAGCATTGAACACCTTGGGATGCTCCATCACCCTCTGGTCTCAGCAGACAGGCAGAAAGCTGGTGGGGGTGCCCAAGGAACTTTGGGGGGACTTTCAGCCCACGTGGCCATCCCCAGTAGAGGGGACAGGCTACCAGGATGTGCCTGACTGCAGCCCTGGCTCAGGAAGGGGTGAGGACAACCCTGGGCTGATCCCATCCAGCCTGGAGCTCTCAGCATCCCTCTGGGCAAGGCCCTGAGGATCTTTTTTCCTGGCTGGAGCAGAGCTTGCTTTCCAAAAGGATTCAAGCATGGGATGGCTGTGCTTTCATGGCTGGTTTGTTTTCTGGCAGCCTCCCCGCACCCAGCAATGGATATCTTTAGGGATGCTGGTACCCGCTGGGATAATGGGGATGATAAAGATGGTGGTACCCAGGATGAGCATCATCAGGGCTGTTGACACAAGATCTATATGCAAACAGATTTAGTACCTTTTGTTATTTAATAGATATAGGTCGGCCAGAGGTTTTTGTTCCAC